TTCGGATCTGCGTGAAGTATGTGATTGCTATTCAGCATTCGTGTGCAACTACATATGTGTTCATGTTCATCAAGCTCCACTGTGTGTGCACAACTATATATATTATAATATGTTATGGATAAATATGATTCATTTAGAGATTAGCAGCTATATACACGGGACTCAGACTCTGCCTCTACACGTGTGACAGGTGTATGTATAGATATACACTGAATTGGACATAGGGGTTGTCCAGTGAATCAACATATAATATAGATAGCTCAATAAAAGACCAATACTTTTTAAAAACCTCCTGGCTTGTCATGCTATTAAAACCGAAACAATAATCTAAACAATGTAACCTCAAATTCAGAATTTCTACTTATAATTCATTTATATGAAACTGTTGTAGGTATGTATGTTCCTATAGACTACACGTGCACACATATGTGCCTGTATCTGTATTTGACCAGGCAGGTCATTTTTGTTGAGTTAATCTATATGTATATATAGGCTCCAGCTGAGCTATCTTTGAAAGCAAACCTTTTGCCATTTGTATAGGCCATTGATTTCTACTCCATTTATCATTTCTGAGGGCCACTGTTTGCTAGAGGCACTATATATATTGTAATGTAGACAGAAATACACTGAAACACAGAAAAAGGTTCTATGCCCATTAGTAAATATATACATATTTGAAAAACAATGTTTTTCCATACTTGTCATGGTGTATATTTTTGAGGTTGGAGCTGTACACCAATATCGACTTCCAACACTATATGTATACATGTGGCGCCTGACATCTGGCAACTCCCCTGAGGCAGGTTTCTAGCAGAAGAAGGGTTAATTATCCTGAGGAGGGGGGGGAGAAGAGTAGGAATCCAGTTACTATGGAAACCTCCTCCTCCTGCATAGATCACCATGTACCAGAGTCTGTACACTCCTACCCCTCCACCATGGCTCTCTCATTCCTTCTCCATTCTCTATCTCTTTCTCTCTCTCCTTAGTCTATATCACTCTCTTTTCTTTATATCCTTGACCTCTACTAAGTGAGTAAGCGTGTCTTCCTTTGCCAGTGACGGTAATATTGTACAATGCCAAGTGCGTGCAATTTAACTAGCAGGTGCTTATTTCTAATGTATTTACTGTAAGAGAGAGACTGCTTACCTTTACACGTGATTGCATTCAGATATGCAAGAGACAGCCTGCAAATTTTAGCACTCTAGTGTGCATGAAAGACAAACTCATATTGATGTGGCAGAGGAACAAGGTAGAAGTGAGATGCAATATGAAGACAAGCCACGAATATGGCCTAGAAATGGCATGCTGTATTAAAGTATTGTAATGAATTTCAGAAATAAGTAAATCTGGGAAAAAAAGAAGACCTTCCCTCCTCATAGACATCTTTGGTTAGGATGACTTGCCCTTTAATGTGAGGAATCGTAACAAAAATTGACATTTCAGGCTAACAAAATAAAAAATAAATTATAATAAAAATAATATATTTATATAAAGCTGAAAAAACACAACACAGACAAAATCCATTATACTACCACGTACCAGAGGTATACATCATATGGAGGCAGTAAAAGTAGGATGATCTATCTGGTAGAGGGTAAACTTACATGGAAGTGTAAATGAGTATTTGCATGGGTTCTGTGTGGAAGTAAGGAAATTTATCTGGGAGAAAAAAGGTTATATGTCCAGCAGAGAACTTACCTGGGAAAATACAGAAGATCTGTCTGTTAGAGAGAATCAATCTGGAATAGTGAAGATGTACCTGGGAGAGACATATAGAACATATCTGTTTAGGAGAGAAAATGAACATAAGAATGGGAGAGCGAAAATCCACCTAAGAGAAATTGAGAGATAAGCTATCACTGGGGGATAAACTTGATTGGAAGACAGGAAGTGAAGTAGGGGCTTTTCGAGCTGAAGCTCCAGGCCCACACACTGCAATAGGCTTAAGCTGCTCGATGTTTGGGTTATTATCTTCTGGTGCCCTGAACTGCTGTGTGCCATTGTCCTAGAGCAGGGATCCCCAAACTCCGGCCCTCCAGATGTTGCTGAACTACAACCCCCATGATTTTCTGGCTATGTATTCCATTCAAAGAATCATGGGAGTTGTAGTTCAGCAACATCTGGAGGGCCGGAGTTTGGGGATCCCTGTCCTAGAGTATTGTTAGATGGATACTGATACCCTTCGTGGTCTGACTGAAAATCATAGGAAATACAATCCTTAACACCTAAAGGATTAATGGTAACTTTGGTCTGTATGACTAACTATATTGCATATACTAATCTGTAACTTATCTACATCTCATCTGCACCCTGATTAAAGGCCCTGGTGGCTGCTTAGGTAACTGCCGCCCATCTACAGTGAGTAAAAAAAGGTATTTGACATACCCTTTTCTCCCAAGCAGCGCTGGTCTCCACGGGGAAGCTATGACTCCTGGCTAAGATCACTGCAGAGCACTGTCCGATGGTGCAATCAGTCAGCAAACCTTGAAGCTGTTTAAGA